TGATAAATAAATTATGCGGCGGCAGCCAAAGAACAAGCCACATGGAGTGCTCGGTGGGACTGGCTGGAAGGCACAATGCGATAACCGCAAAGAGAAAACAAATAAACTCTGTGGAAATACCAAAGAGATAAGTATGCGCCCCGTCGCCCAAAAATAATGGCGGCGTATTACTAAAAGCAAACTCGTATGCGTTAATAAACAAAATCTGTTGCTAATGTACAAAATAAGTTAATTATGGCAACGCAAATGCGCAAAATGCTGCGAAACAGACGCGGCCAATGGCAACAGCTTTGGAAATCAAGTTGACAGTTTATGGTGCATGTTTGTGTGTTGTTGTATGTGGTTCTGTGGGTATGAGGAGCTGGCGAATGGAGAATGTGGGAGGGCCAGGAGTATGCACTGCATTGACATTAATATCCTGCTGGTTGCGTTTTGTTGTTTGCGCGCAATAATTACGTTTTGTGGCACAGACAAACAAATAAATAGACAGACAAACAGGCAGAGAGAGCCAAACAAACTAGCAAACAAACAGACAAGCGGACAGTTATAGAATGGAACCAAAACCAAGACTTAGCCTGAAGCATTGCTGCATATGATTGTCAGGCACATGCTGGCGCATAAATAACAACAAATAATTACAAATTGCATTAATAATAAACAAACACAGCAATGGACACCACACAGCATGCAGTTAGCGTGTGTGTGGCTTGTGGGTGGATGTGTGTATCTTTGTGTGCTTGTGTGTGTGTATTTGTACTTTGAATTGGGAAACCGGATAAATGAAATGGCGTATCTATTTTACCTTTATGCCATTTTTGCGTGCTTGGCATAATATTGTATACCCCAGCCCCTGCTCCATCACTTAGCGTGTGTTGTGATCCTCCCAAAAATATAAATGTATGCTCATAGAGATGGTGACATTTGCAAATCAACTGCAAGGAAATGTGCATATTTTATTTTATAATTTGTTTGCATATGTCGTTGCTATTTTGCAATCAATATTTCAACAATATATTCGACGTCTGATATTGTTATACTCTGCTCGAACGTAGAAGGGTATGTTAGGTTTGTGGAGACGTACGTAATGTGCAGATAGAAGCATCTCCGACTATGAATCGTAAATATTCTTAGTCAGCATATTAAGACAAATCGATGTACAAGTAGACAAGTCCGCCCGTCTGTCTGCATTTCAGATACGGATGAACAAGCAACTAGGTATAGACCCATCTAATCGATTTCATGAACACATATCATCTATATCAAATTTTATTCAAATCAGTTAATCCTTAGAAAACATATCAGCGAATCAATCGCCAGCGGTTTCATTCTTTACCTATTTTCGTCTACTTAGGGGCCTTACAGTACCAACATGACAACACACTGTATATAACATATAGAGTATTTCACTCTCAGTCTATTAAGTCTAACCACAGCTCTTGTTGGACTGCTGCGACATACATTCATTAGATTTTCATAACTTTGACAATGCCAGTGAATAATTTCTGGTTGTGTTTGATACATGTTATAATGGCATAGTTGGTTGTCCACGTCGCCTGATAAAAAATACATTTAAGTGCCGATTAAATATACACATCCATCGAGTGTAGAGAGGTGTGTCGGGCAGTTGTGGGTAATATGGCATTACGTGCCTGGATTAATAAAACTGAACAGCATGAACAATCGTGCTATTTCGACGGTCGACCCGCAATTGCTTCGAAATAAAAATTCAATCACAATTACACTCCCTCGCCAAAACATATAAATCATGAGAAAAAAAAATTAAATTTATTTCAAAAGGTATTTTGAATGCTTTATTAATGAAGTCAATTGTTTACTGAGTAAGCGAGATTGTTCAAATCAATTATGATTTGGCTTTAAAATAAATGACTAAAAACAGAACATACACTTCTTATACAAATAAAGACCATTTCCAAAACTAAAGGAATAAATAAACACTACAGAAAACAGGCAAGTCAATAGGAATGGCTAATTCGCTACTTAAACATTGTAATATACTCCAAAATAATTGGCTGCATCTCCAACTAAGTTTTCAACAACACCATAAACAACGAAAAGCATACATATTTATAGTTATCATTACACATCCACACTATAGACTTAATTCATTCATATTTTACACCCTTTCGTTGCACATTCCGTTCTGCCATCTAATGTCATGTCACACAACTGTTCACACATCCATTAAAAGTTCCTGACTTACTCTGACTGCCCCGCACACAAGCAGTTGCTGCTAATTTCCACTCACAGTTGCATGACCGACCTACAACAATATAAAAGTCACAGCCTCAACACACAAATCTCTGGCTCATACACCCAGCACAGCCAGAGCCCCCAACCCACAAGCACCCCACACCCGAACTACTAATATTTCTGGAACAGTCGAAAAATGCACTTCAATTTCAAGTCCTACACTGTGAAGCCCATTGAATTGCGGCGCACACTTACCGGGCGCTACTTAAGCTGTTCATTAGCTGGATGGCCCCCCTTTCGTTCCCCTAAGCACAGCCGAATGAGCGGCATGCAACAGCACACACGTTGCAGGGAACACGGTGAAAGCGACGCCATTAAAAACTTTTTACAAGCATTCACCATCAGCATTAACGCGGCTGTCGTCAATACCTACGTCATCGTCGTCCTCATCCTCATCGTCGACGGCGATGGTGACGGTGTCACCAGAGCCAACAAGCCAGTCAGACTGGGATCATCGAGTCAGTTTTGGCACCATTCGATGCAGTCGATGTTGACTCTTAGGCTACCACAGCCCTTAGCCCATTGTCATTCGACACTCGTTGGCTGAGATTTAGACTGGTTGTCAGAGTTTGTCATTGAATATCGTCGCTTGTTGGTAGTTTGTTGTCGATTGTCGGCCGTCGCTTGTCGCTTGTCGCCTATCGTCTGCCCATTGGCACCTACCGCCAATCGATTGGATTCAAACGAATTGCTTAGATACACGATCAGACTCTGGCTGCCGTTGGCCCCGCATGCAATCCTTTTTATTGTTTGCCGCTTTTAATGTCAATCGGCTGGCGCTTGGGCACAAAACTCAAGTGGATTTTTCCTCTCCCGTCCGCACAAACTCGTCTCCGTCTCCATCTCCGTCTTCATCTCCGTCATTGTTCTTGTTCCCATCAGTCGCCGCGCATTTGCCATCATCAAGTGGTGGCAGCTTGTTTCTATTGCTGTTGTTCTTATTGTTGTTGTTGTTGTTGCTTTTATTTGTATTTTATTATGCCAAAGTGTTGTTTCAAATGTCATTTGCTGCGCTTCCATTTCAAGTGTCAATTGTGCAGAATGGAATGTGTGAGTGTATGGGAGTGTGGCACTCTTTTAATTTCGTCCCCCTATCCGTTTGTCGGTCTGCCTTCCGACGTTCTGTATTGGTAGAGCGGCACTTTCTCGATTTACGACTTTGTTTGGCTGCAGTTCGGTTTTATAGCTCGGTTTTGTGGACGTTTGGCTTGGAAATGACACAGTTTTGTACACTCGTTCGTTATTGTAGGCATTTCATTGGCAGCTCTAGAAGTGCACCTTTTTTCAGAGTGACTTACTATTTCTGTCAACGGGAGAGAGGGGTACAGGGAAACAAATAATTAAGCTATTGCAAGAGTAATGTATATTGTTGGCACAGGGTCACTGTAACAATTAAATGGTCCTTGTTCCAGACACACTCATTATGGGAATGCAGTTTATAGGTTTCATATGTCAGATAATTAGGATATTGAATTTCTGCTATCTGTGAACTTCCTCGACTGCAGTTCATATTAAAAGAAGCACAGCCGAACGTAGAAATCTGGTCATTTAAGCCCTAGGAAACTAACTGGTACTCCAAAGCGAACTTATCTTTTATTAGTGAAATGTTTTCTTGAGATCGTGAATCTATGGCGTAAGCATTTTATGACTATTTTACAGAAAAACGGATTCTTAAGTTCCTCTCTATGAGTTTGATTTTGGCTTTAATTACTATATACACTGTACCTAAAGGGTAAAAGGGCATACTAGTTTTGTGCGAATGTATGTAACACATAAAGGAAGTATATATATATTATTGATCAGCGTGACAAGCCGAGTGGATATAGCCTGTCTGCTTTGACTTACAAGTATTTCTTTACTGCATACAAACACGCATAAACACGATTCTGATGCAAGTGTATGTAGTTGAAATTGCACATAAACACTTATGTGTGCATGTATGTATGTGTTAAATATGTTATATTGAATTAAACTAATTAATTTAATTAATTAATTTTTTTCCTTTCGATTATGGTTTAAAACACGCAGAAGTGTTTTTTCGGAGAAACAATTAATTTCTATTTAAAGTAATTTTGTTTGCCTCTTAGCTCTTGTTTGTTTTAGTTTCGCTTGCAAATATTTTGCTACGAATCATGTTCTCTTGGTGTTATGAGCTCTCTCTTCAAGATCAACCCACATTTGCTCTCACATTGCTGACGGAGCTTTGTAATGCAAATTAGCTTTCTACTGATGCAGCCGTTTAGATCAGACGCCCTGCAATAATATTATGTTTTATTGAATATATCCCGTATTTTTTATACCCTGGTACTATTCCACAACTTTTATCGCATATGATTTTTCTGCTTTTTATTATTTTTTTTTTATTTTATAAATAATTATTATTTTATGATAACGCTAAAACAAACCCACAATATGTTTCAGTATTCTTTTTTTGCTTTTACCATTCCAAAGTTTCTTTTGAAAAACTTTCCGTTCCGCTTCAATGTTATCAAATGAAAGATAAATAACAAAGTATTTGTCGTCACTAAGGTTTGCCTACAATTTGTACGAAGCAATTAATTTGTCTATTATTTTCTAGCTTTAATTAGGAAATTCATCGTCAACTGAAAGCCATGTCCCCCAGGTTTTCATTTCCTTTTCAAAAAGAGCTGGGGTAACTTTGCAAAATCAATAACTAGTCCGTAACTTGGCGCTATCATTAGCATATAGAAACAACACTTTCGACTTACCCAAACTCGCAAGTAGCATCAGCAAAACTCCCGAAGCCATCAAGAGCAAACGGTTCCTCCAGTTAGCTGACCCATCGAATGTCGTTCCCTGTCGACGCTTTCTATGCTGTCTATTCTTCTCCGTAATTATTGTTGTATTTGTAGTTGTATCCATAACCGCTGATAGGTCGGTGCACATTTTGCTGGCGTTGTCTTTGGCTGACAACTCGTTCGACGGGCCACACTCGAGCATGGCTAGGCAGAAATACCCTAGACTTCAGTTCTGCAACATGCGGCACATTCGCTGCGAACTTATTTAATAAACACTTCAACCGATGCGTCGACTGTCAGTTGGGCGAAAATGTTTACAGCCGGCCCTGGGTGGGGAATGTAGGGAACGAAAGAGCGAGTGATGGCAAATGGGCTCATAAATAAATGTCTTATTTGAATTGCCGACGTTAGGCGAATACCGCTAATAAGCATAGAGGCCCACAATTAATATCGTTTCCTCGTTGCCCTCCGATAATTGAAATTTACTTTGATTTGCACTTTTTGATATTTTATTTACACAATTTTTTTTTTTACTTTTGGCACTTCTTGTGGCGCGTTCAATTTGATTTTGTGTACTCGTATACTCGTATTTTAGCTTCCTGCTATTAATTGTTGTTTTCTATTTAGACAGCGCCCATTTGTCTGCCCGAAACGTTTATTTTTTCACTTGGCACTGCGTTTGTACATATATACACTTACATATGTACTAGAGTACAACGAGTATGCATGAAACAAATGATGTTTTATAGCGGGCAGTTTTTTGCTAAAAACGCTTTTATTACGCTAATTGGGCCTGTTGCATGCCACAAAATGTTGCATGTGTGCGCAGCTGTTGCCGGAAGTGCACTGCAAGTAGAACAATAAACAAAGCACGATTTAGTATTGCAATCAATGTATTCGTGTATACTTGTATATACAATTTATAGTTTATAGCACCCAAACATGCTCAATCAATAGCACACACCACTCAAAATCAAAATGTATTCCCGAACGAATGTATTCCCAATGTTTAAAGAACAACACTCGTATTGTGGAAGCGCCACCGGCATGGCACAGCTGTTGAGGCATAAACACAATAACCACTCGCAACAAACCGCCGCCCGCGTACGCATTGGCGACAAGTTGAAAAACGACTGAGCAGACTCGAGCAACATGCAAAAATTCGAAAGACGCGCCAAGAAATGCCAAAAACACACCCCGAAAATAAGACGTGACGTATGTAGCAGCACAGGCACTGGAAATGTTGCAGCAACATGTCGGCACGTCGCTCCAGGAACATTTGATGCGATGGAAGTGTTGCTGGGGCGCTTGTGAAACAGGAAGCGTGGCGCATGCCACTTGAATGTTGCAGATATTGTTGCTGTTGTTGTTTCTGCCACTGCACATGTGAAATATGACAAAAAATAATAAATAATAAGCATAAGGGTAGAACTTCAAAAAAAGAAACATTTGTAAAAGAGAGAAAAGTAATTCTACTAAAGTAACAAAAAGCAGCAAATGTTTTGTGCAGCGCAAACAAAAACATGCGACGCTTTATGCGCAAATTTGTTTTTGTTTTAGCTAATGAGGCTGTGCACAAGTGGCAGGCACTTGAGTTTCCTCCGCGTGTGTGCGTGTGACGCTTTTTAACCTCGTTCACAGGCCGTACATCCTCATCAGATTTATGCCAAGCGCACTCCAAGCGCCCGTCGTTGCAACTTCAGGCCCACACACTCGAAAAGCCCTCCCAACTGTTTACAGTTGCCACATGCGCCTCATTGCAAGCTCGCATTTTGTTTATTTAAGTTTCAATTACTTTGCTGCTGCTGTTGCTGCTGTTTCTCCCACCCAACGCTTTGCTTTTGCTTTTCGACTGATTGGCAGGCAGTCATCCGGGCAGTCGTTTTTGTTCAACATGTTGCGCACATGTTGCCATTACTTGCCAGCCTAACTGCCTGCTTTCTTCCTGTCTTTGTGGTCTATACATACGTATAGTCCATTTTGTGCAGCTTTTGTGCCATGCAATGAGCAGGCGCTTTTGTCGTCATCATAAGTCATAAAAATTCATAAACGCAAACACACAAGTGGCTTTAATGTGCGGCAAGGCGATGCAAGAGGCTGGGTGCGTACGGCACTTGTGGGTGGGGCAAGTGGATGGCAGCCATGCGGCAAATTGGTCGTCTACCTTGAAGGTCGCAGACTGTAGCCAAATCAAATGCTCTGCATAAATAATCCACAGCACTTGGCTCTGCTCACCCACTCAAGTCATTGCCTTGACTGCCATTAATAGTGCTCATTAACTGCCAAGGAACTGAATGCGCAATGTCAGTTTTATGCGCCACACATGTTACTAAACACAATACACCATTTATATAAAAGCTCGTAAGTATATACTACCTCTGTTAACTTTTATAGTTGTATACAGTATGTACGTCCTTACAAATGATAAGAACACATTTCATTTAATTAACCGAAACTAGGCACCTCCTTTTAGAAGCCGTACCAAAAGAACAAAGGAATTTAGTGTGGAAAGGATTTTATTTTATCTAAAAATTTTTAAATATGCATGCGTCAACAAAGAATTTTAATTTCCCCTAAATAAAAATGCATTCTCTAAAGGAATGGAAAATATTTAAAATGTTTAATTGCGAAGTAACTCTGAAAAGTCGACACCTGCTGAATTTATTCAAAATTCTGATTGTTGAAGTGGTGAGATATCCCAATTATTTGTATGCAATTGTGTTGTTTACACGTAGGCTAGAAAACTATATTTTATTAAAGAATTATTGCTGGTTTCGATTGCAGTACCTTTATATTTAACACACACTTCAAAAGTTTGAATAGTTTGTGTGCAAATTTTTTGCTGGTCTGACCTAAATCAATGAAAACGTTGTTCTTATTAAAGTTATTGCAACTGAATGCCAATTTAAACAAATATTTATCCCACATAGCATTTCATTTCTTCAACTAAGAGTTTCCATTTTTGTTGGCCAAAGGAATAACAAAAATTAAATTATTTAGAAATCTTCAATGTAAAGTTTCTATGTACTTCATACAGATCACTTATATTTTCCTAGGTTTCACTGTTTGTGTAACTGCAACAATTCCACTTGGTTTTTATTACAAAATACACACCTACACTCCAGGGCACAACACGGTCATGCACTTAGCAGTTTTATTGTATATCCAGCTACCCCTTGACAAGCGCAACACGTGCGATTTGAGAATTTTATAAAAGTGTTTATTAGCCCCGTTCCTGGATGGAGTCATGCACCATGTGCGTGTGCTTATATCACATTGGGGGCGCGAGCTCGCTGTGCTAGCATTAACGAGGACAGCGGGGCGAGCGGGGATGTCGACGATGTTGACAGTGACGGTGACAAGTTTTAGTGCTCCAATGAAATTGAAACTCATAAAAATGCATAAAAAACCGCACAATTAAATGCAAGAAGCGGGAAAGAGGGCCAGTGGCATCCAACCTGAATCGACGTGGTATACTTGAATTTTGGAGCAAAGACTTTTCTTTTGCATCAAGAAGAGGAATACAAATGTTCTCGTTGACACTTATATACGGAGTTTTTTCGCCCCAAGCGACTAGTTTCAGATAATAAATAAATATGTATATGATGAATCCTTTTAATTCTTTAATATTTTTAATATGCGATATCTAGCATACAAACTTGGTGAACATAAAACGGATCTTTTATTCGTAAAATAATTTAGAAACGGAGAGGGATAAGGGCAGGACCAATAATGTGTCCTTTCTAAGATGACATAGTACACCAAATAACCAAACATGGCAAAATAAATTGTTCCCAATTATTCCATTTATCAATTCCAATTATTATTTTATAAATCAAATCAAAAATTTAAATATGTGTTGAAATTAAAATGAAATGTCTTAGAAAACTTGGAAAAACTTTTACTGGTCATCCCTTATACAAAAGCGATTTATCCATTGAAGCTCACAAAGTACGAGGACATACATCATTCCACATTCACATTCCCGTACACACTTAGAAAATCCTTAGGCTCTGCTTAATATAGAGTTCGAATCAACATGTCATGACAACACATGACAAACAACAACAGGGCCTCGTCCCTTTACGTACGAGTATAGTATGTGGTGGGGCCCTTTCTTAATATTCAAAGATGCAAATTGTCTTTGACATGGGCAAGTACAAGATAATAATTCTCTCACACATGGCACCTAAACAAAGGCCCCACCTTTCCGCTCACACCCTCTCCCAGTCATCCACTGACTGCTGCTGGCAATTTCCGGTTACAAATGTTTGTATGTCTACTAGCTCCCCTGTTCCCAACTCAATCTAGGCATTCCCTGGCACATAGTACAAGCAAACATATTAACATTTATAGTCGTCATGTGCGCGTTTATTAAAATGTATGTCCTCGTTGTCAGCCTTGGTTACCTTGGATTCAATTAAAAACATTCGAATGCAATTAAATTTCTACATACTCGACTGTATATCGACGGAGGGCAATAGAAAAATCTTTTTTGTTCCAATTTTGACAGACGATGCCATGCCATATTTTCTATTTTTGGCTACAATGTTTGACGCATTTCCATTTCATTGTCATTTCGGGAAATTACAATACCATATTTTGTTCCTGTTGTGAATAGGTACTATACTATATATGTTGTTTGTTGTTTATTCATTGCTGTTGCCATCTACTGTGTATTTAGAGGTCGTTTTCATTTCGCTTGTATGGCTTGTGTTTGTCTGGCACATTGCATTTCAAATGAATGAACGCGAACTTATTCATGCGGCAATGATATTGAAATGCTGAGAAAATGTATTTAACAGATACGACTATCGTACAATGCCTGCGGTTGTTAATCGTTCTAAGCGGTCGATCTTCAAAGTGCCTTTTGACCAATGCGGCCACATTGATGAGCGACCCAAACTGCCCGCGGCTTCCAGTAAATCCGTTAATTATTATTGACCGCTCTATTGCTATGCTCTGCAAATACACACACATACATACATATACATAATCACACATAAACAGATTGATGGTTTTCATTAGGCGGTCGGCTCGTTAGAATTAGATGCCTTCCCATATTAATAAGCTGCAGGCGGCAACAAAGCAACAATGTGGCATGACCTGCAGCTGATTGCTTGTCATGGCAATGCACAAAAGGCAACCAACCACCAACCCACTCACACATATACACACATGCACACATACATCCTCACTCATGCATAACTACATTTGTAGATGCAATATACTACTACTGGTGGGCTGCATGTGCATTGAAACACTTGCGGGCATTTATTGAAATAGAAAATGAGGCACGGCTGCTACTTGTACAACCACAGCCGCTGCAACTGTGCCATTGCCAATCAACACACCCATACATACACATATAGACGAGTCCAAACATAAAACTAGAGTTTAGACTCGCGTCTTCTTTTGTTGGGCCAACGATGAAGTGCGCAATACTTACACTTCAACGGTTAAACACTTTCATTGTATTCGACGCAAGGCGGAGTGTTA